TTTTTTTTTTTTGGTGAGGCAGTCAGGGTTAACTGACTTGCCTGAGGTCACACACCTAGTAAGTGTCAAGTGTCCGAGGCCAGATTTGAACTCAGGTCCTCCTGACTCCAAGGCCAGAGTTCTATCCACTGCGCCACCCAGCTGCCCCCCTCATTTCTCATTCTCAGTTTTGCAGGAGGCTTTCCCACCCCAGCTCCCCCATCTCCTCAGTGCCTAATGCCTCCACTCTGAGACTGCCTGCACTTAACACTGTCTACATTTTGTCTGTACACAGTGGTTTGTATGTGGTCTGCCCCATTACTGGGTGATGTCCTTGAGGGCAAGGACTGTTTGTCTTTGTGGCCCTGGTGCTTAACACAGTGCTAGGCACACCTTAGGAACTTCTTGAACGTCAAACTTGGCTCTTTTGGATGTGTGGATGGGGTGAGAATCACTCCCATAATCCTTGCCAATTTCCCCTTCCTCCCACGTCCATCATGGGCATAATCCTGGGTAAGCACCAGTGTTTTTGTCCTTTCAGGAGTCAGTGACATTCAGGGATGTGGCTGTGGACTTCACCCAGGAGGAGTGGGGGTACCTGGAACCTCCTCAGAAGGAGATGTACCGGGAGGTCATGCTGGAGAACTACTGGAACCTGGTCTGGCTGGGTAAGGAGGCTTCCCTGGGACCCATGTTCTGTCCTTGCCACCTCTCCTTAAAGGTCAAGCTCAGTAAGCCTGTTGAGCACCACATAATGGTTGTTTGGCCCAGAGAAATGAGAGGTTGGTCACTGGAAAGAAACACAGGATCATAGATTTGTAACTGGAAGGGGCCTTGAGGCCTCGTTGTAAAGGGGATGATTCCACTTGAGGACAGAGAGCTAGTGAGCCATGCAGAGGCCTGTATCCTGAGGGCTGCAGGACAGAGACACCGGATGGCATTGTCTGGTCACAGTGCCCTGCTGGCATCCCGTGCACCCTGGGGCACTGCCCCAGAGCTGCTCCCCATCCACAAGGCATCACCTGGAGTAGTGACCAAGTTCCCTTCCTCTTTTTGTCCCAAGCAGTCATTTCTTTTTTGAACCCAAATCCCTTCTGTGGCACTTTTTCCCGTACTTCTGAGTAACCCAGTTCAGTGTCTTCTTCAGAGCTGATGGGCCTTGTCCTCACCATCGTCCTCCCGGCGCCCTCTGGCCCTCTGGGGCAGGGCCATGTTGTCTGGCAGAGAGGGAGTTGGGACCGTTTGTGAGCTCCCCGTGTGGCTCTTTCCCATTTCCAACGAACAGGACTTGCAGTTTCCAAACCAGAGGTGATCGACCGGCTGGAGCGAGGAGAAGCACTGTGGATGCCAGAGAGAGACGTCCCAGGGAACAGCCACCGTGTGGGTGAGTGAGGCGTCACCGACAGTGTGTGTGCTAGTGTTGCTGGGGTCTGGCTGGGAGTGGCTCCTCCAGCCCTGCAGACTTGGGGAGAAGTGTGCATTGGGTAATTTTGCAGGCATCTGTCCCCTGTTTGTCCCTCAGGCCTCAGGAGAGCAGCTGCCATTTTTTTAGTTTCAGTCATTCAGCAAGTTGAAGCACCTACTATGTGCTAGACACACCTGAGAATACAAGTGCAAAGAACAAAACATTTCCTCCTTTTAATAACCCTGCGTTCGTGTAGGAAAGAAGACAAGGACGTGTAAAACTACAGACGGCATCTAACGTGAAGAAATACACATCCATACAAACCAGTAGTTTGGGAAGGAGGGCACCAGCCGTTGGGGATCAGAAAGGGCTTCGTGTAGAAAATGGTGCTCGAGCTTTCTTTTACAGGAGAGGAATTTTCTGAGGCAGCGGGAAGGAGGAAATTCATTCCGGGCACGTGGCCCGGCCAGAGTAGAGGCATGGAGTGTTGTGTGTGGGGAGGGCCAGTTCAGCTGGATTGTGGAGTCAGATGTGAAGGATGTCACTGGATGTGGGGGGAAGGGAGACGAGGAGTCCTGGGAAATGCTGAGGTTCCACACCCAGGAGATGGGGAAGGTGGTGGTGCCTTCAGTAGGAGGAGTGAAGGCTGGAAGGGGGAGGTTGTTTGGAGGGAGATAACGACGTGGGTGTGTTGAGCGTAAGCCGTCTGTGGTACTGATGCCAGTCACGTTTATGGACTCAACTCCTGCCCTTCCTCAGAGATTACCTGCAAGTTACCCTGTGTGTGGCTGGGTTGTACACAGTCGCGTACCTCTTGTCTTCCCCCCTAGGCTGAGCTTTGACCATTCCTCGATGAATGGTCCCCCCTGATTTGGTTTCTAGTGTTTTGCTACTACAAAGATGGGGGGGTAAGCATATGGTGGCATATGTTGGAACTTTGGGCCTGAGTGTCCGTGCTCCATGTTGGTGTCACTGGGTCTAAGAGTATGGACAGCTACTCAAGTCACTTTTCCTTCACATTTGAAATACTGTATTTGAAAACCAGAACTTTGAACCACTTCCCAGCCCTACCAGAGAGGGGTATCACTGGACAGCTCTTACCACTGAATGAAGGAATGAATAAAGGTTCCTCAGGGAGCCTCTGTTCCAATTGGGTAGGACAGCACCGGTGCAAAGACCAAAGATGGGTAACATCTTTGAGACAAAAACAGGAGACGAGCGATGGAGAAAACAAAGAACTGGAAACAAGGGTGCTCGTTGATTGGAGAATGGCTGCAGAAATGATGGTTCATGCATGTCAAGTAGTCTTGCATCGCAGGGAGTAAAAGGGATGATGTAAGAGAAGTCTGCAAAGACTTGTCTGACCTGATGCAGAGTAAAGTGCTGAACCGAGGAGCAGTGCTCACAGGGAACGCCCTGGGAAGACACGGTGAAGTGCCCCGCCGTGACTCCAGGAGACCTCAGTGGCCCTGCACAGGCCCCGTGTCGGAGAGGTGGTAGAATGTACAGACACTGTCAGACAGAAAGGTGTGACAGCAGTTGTGTGGGGCACAGAGGGCTGGGGAGATGGCGGTGTTCGGGTCACCAAAAGAAAGAAAAGGGCGTCAGTAACCCTGGAAAAAGTACGCACAGAAGAGCAGGAGGGAATTCAGGAGGGGACGCAGCAGGGCTGCTTACTCTGCGTGGTTTACTTGGCTCATCACTTTAGTGTCAGCAATCAGCAGAGCGCTCAAGCAAGGCCTCATTTGTAGCAGTTACTGATTTCTCCGGTATAATATGTTCACCTTGGATGTGTCACAGTCAGCTCTCTGGAGCCAGCACACCCTGGCAGACAGAGAGGTCAGCGCTGGTATTGTCATGTTACATTTAATATACGCTGCAGAGAGCCAAGCGGTACATTATAGGGATTCACAGCTTCCTCTGCAGTGCTCTCTTTCTCCTCTTTTTGTATGTGGAAATGTTTGTGTTTGTTGAAGTTTGTCATGTTCGCAAGAGAAAGAAGACTTAAAACCAAAGGGCAATCCATTCTGTTTTCCCCCGTAACCCATCCATTCTCCTGAGGACACTGCCCCTCCTTCCAGGTACCCAGATTCACAAACTTAGAGTTTTCCTAGACTCTTTCATCTGCCTTACGCCTCGCCCAGTAATAAATCCATTTCCAAGTCTCGTGTTTTCTGCCTCTATCCCATTCCTTCTTTTCTAACCACACCTGGTTCAGACCCTCATCATCTCTTACCTGGACTGGGCCTCCCTGCTTCCGTGTCTCCATCCTCGGTGTAGCGGCCAGATTGATTTTCGGGAGAAGCTGCGGGCGAGGCAGGAACACAAGCACTCAGAGGGTCATGGGTCGGGCAGGTTATTCCTCCTGGACATGCCGGCATGAGCCCCCATCTACGCAACCCTGTGGTCCTACTGTGCTGAAGGTGTATGGTGGAATGTGTCCCCAGTGGAGAGCCCAGATCTCTGGGTTTCTGCTCTGAGGCATGATTGTTGTTTCTGGGCAGGTTCGGAGGGACTCAGTCAGCAAGTGGTCTTGACCATGACTCTTCTCAGCCACAGAAGCATTGTGGTTGGAAAGTTTGACAGTCTTGTCTACCAGAATTAACTAAAGTTTGCTTACCTGATTATGGTTAGTGGTGCCTTGAGTACATAGGAACTTCTCAGTACACAGGAGAGTCAGTCTGTGGGTAAACCCGGAATCACTTCTGTCCCCTTACAGCGTGGCATTCCTCATGGATAATGGCTGTGTCCCCCCCCCCCCCCCCCACACACACACACATTGACAGACTTTCAGTGGATCCTCTGGGATGAAACACAAGGTCCTCAAGCCAGAATGTGAAGCCCTCCACAGGCTGTTTTCCACTGGTCTGGTCCGGTCCAGTAAAACTGGTCTAGTATTCATTCTCCATACATGCCATTGCATTGTCCCCAGGGCCTGGAATGCCCACCCCCCTTCACCTCCCCTAATTTGCATCCTTAGCATGCATCGAAGCAGATTCTCTTAATCTGGAAATTCTTTTGTATTTTGTTTTATTACTACCCCCCCCCACCAATACTGATTGATACCAATTTTTGTCATTTTTGCCAATATGCAGGGTGGGAGGTGAAACTTGAGGGTGGTTTTGATTATTATTTCTCATAGCGCTAGTGATTTGGAGCATTCTTTCATGTGGTTGTGAATATTTTGGTGAGGCAGTGGGGTTAAGTGACTTGCCCAGGGTCACACAGCTAGTGAGTATCATGTGTCTGAGGCCGGATTTGAACTCAGGTCCTTCTGACTCCAGGGCCAGTGCTCTGTCCACTGAGCCACTTTGCTGCCCCTGGGTGTGAATATTTTGCAGTTATTCTTTTGAGGACTGTTTGTTCATCTCCTTTGAACATTTACCTTTGTGCGTGTCTGTTCTCATAGTTGTCAGTTGTTTACATTTTTGGATCTAAACCTTTATTAGAGAAGTTTGATACAAAGATTTTTTTCCCCATTAGACCACTTCCCTTCTCATCCCAGATGCAGCAACGTTGTCTGTGCAGAAGCTTTTCCGTTTCATATAATCGAAGTTATCTAGTTTATCGTTGGTAATTGCCTCTGCCTCTTGTTTGACCAAGAACACGTTTCTTTCCCATCGTTATGCGAGGTCGATGAGACGCTAACCTCCCGGCTCGGCTGACCCCAGGTCTTTGGTGTTTGGCTGCGCTTGGATCGGAGGGGTGGATGTAGTTTGCGCTTGAAGCCTCCCCTTGTGTTTCCTCTTATCTGTGCCATCTCTGGAGCCAGGATCCCTTTGCCTCTTGACTTTTCAGCTCCTCCTCCAAATTTCCGGAAGATGTAAATACATCCACTTCTGCCTTTGTTTCTTCTTTCACCCCACCTTTGATCGTTACTTTTCCTTCTTTGACCCTGGGATAATTTCTTCAGGAAGGATGGGGTTCTTTTTATGCGTGCATATCGTGTCTGGTACCTAGTCCGTGGTCCCAGGTGACTTTGCAGGAGATCCACCTCCCTATGTTCTGACGGAACTAGTCCCTGACGTGGGACCTGTGGAAGTGCTGCTTTACGCTGACAGGCTGGCAGCCTGCGTGATTCTGTCGCTTTTTAATCGATACCAGATGATTTTGGTGACTTGTGAGTCATGTCCAACTCTTGGTGACCCCATGGACCACAGCCGTCTGTGGAGGGCCTTCTGGCCTCCACTGCCTCTTAAAGTCAAAGTTCATGTTCATTGTTTCCAAGATAACTTTCTACCTGTGTCATCCTCTGCTGTCCCCTTCTCCTGCTGCCCTCAATCTTTCCCAGCATCATTTCCAGTGAATCTTGTCTTCTCATTATGTGGCCAAAGTATTTCAGCTTCAGTATTGGACCTTCCAGTGAATAGCCTGAATTAATTTCTTTGAGTATTGACTGATTTGATCTCCTTGCTGTCCCAGGGACTCTCACTAGCCTTCTCTAGCACCACAGTCCAAAACCGTCATTCTGCAGCGCTCAGCTTTCCTTAGAGTCCAGCTCTCACAGCCATGCGTCACTATGGGAAAAACCATAGCTTTGACCATGCAGACCTTTGTCAGCAAGGTGATGTCTCTGCTTTTCAGTATACTGTCCACTTTTTTTTTCCCCTTTTTGGTGAGGCAATCAGGGTTAAGTGACTTGCCCAGGGTCACACAGCTAGTAAATGTCATGTGTCTAAGGTCGGATTTGAACTCAGGTACTCCTGATTCCAAGGCTCTATCCACTGTGCCACCTAGCTGTCCCTGCTGTCACTTTTGTCAGAGCTTTCCATCCAGGGACCAAGCGTCTTTTAATTACATGGCTGCAGTCACTGACCATCTTCAGGGATCTTTGAGCCCAAGAATAGAAAATCTAACACTGCTTCTACTCCTTCTCCCCCTATTTGCCAGGAAGTGTTGATGCCGGTTGCCAAGATTCTAGGTTTTTTTTATGTTAAGCTTCACGCCAGCTTTTACACTCTCCTCTTCACTTTCTGTCC